TCAGAAATTTAAAGTCTGTGCTTGTGCCTTTTTTGTTTTAATACTCTCCCCCCGCCCCCCGCCGCCCTTGTGCCAGCTTACTGAGGTTTATCTATTTCATTAGACTTCAGACATTTTTGTGATTCTCCTCACTGACTTTTCTTGGTTGTCTCATTAATTTTTTTTCCAAATTTTATTGATAAACAGATAGCAATGATACAGTTTCAAATCAAATCTGTCTCATTAATTTTTAATTTTATTTTTCTGCTGTCTTCCACAAAAATCTACCTCAAGAAGCTAGATTTTTTTTTTTCAGTCTTTAATTTTTTTTATTTTTTCAGTCTTTGATTTTTTTTTTTTTTTTTTTGCAATTGGCTCCAAGCACTCTTGGTGCCTTTAGTTGGTGCTGATCAATAGGCAGAACTCCAGCCAACATGGGTAGAAAATCCATGAGCTTCATACCCTGGGAGAGGTGGACGATGGGGTACAATTCCAGTGCCGCCTTACCTGAGACAAGGGAAGCATATAGCCTCGATATTTTGTGGGCAGGAACCCCTGATCCTCCCCCTCTTGTTTTAGAGAAGGGTCTACAGGGTGTTCAGGGTCTCACTACTAGATCAGACTCGTAGTGATTCTCCTGTTTTCAGCCTCCCAAGAGCTGGGATTACAGGTATGCACCACCATGCCCAGTCTCAATTACCCTCGGGGCCAGCACAGCACATGAACCCCCAGGCCCTGGGCCTGCTTGCAGTCTCAGTCTTTGATTTTTAAATAAACAATTTATTGCATTCAATAAATCTTGTTACAAAGTAATCTTTCTTCTCTCTCTCTCTCCTCTCCCTTCTCTCCTTTCTCCTTTCTCCTCCCTCCTCCCTCCCCTTCCCTCCTTCTCTCTTCTCCTCTCTCCTCTTCTCTCCCCTTCTCTCCCCCTCTCTTCTCTCTCTCCTCTCTCCCTTCTCCCCTCTCCCTTCTCCCCTCTCTCCTCCCCCCTCCCTCCTCCCTCCTCCCTCTCTCCCTCCCTCCCTCCCTGGCTCTAGCAATTTTATTTTTATAACTGAACTCTGTGTCTCTGTCTCTGTCTGTCTCTCTGTCTCTCTGTCTGTCTGTCT